ATATTATATCGATCTCCTTCTCTTATATGTAAAAATCAATTTGTTTTTCCAAAAGTGTCACGAATCGGAATGTATAACATAGCGTATAGGAAAATATAAAAATACAATAATATTTTTTGTGAATAATTCTGGCGCCAACATAACTCGGCTTCAGTTAGAAAAATATTACTCGGAAAAGTTGGAAATTCCTATCATTATTGTCTCGTGGTACCCTCTACTACAATGATAATTAAAAACTGGAAAATATGCATTAAAAAATGTTTAAAATATGCATTTTAAAACAGGCTGAATAGTTACAAATAATACGCAAATATGAATTTATAATTATTAAAATAATATATACTTATTTTTACTAACATAATTTTAAAATATATGTTAAATAAGTGCAGTTTGATTTTAAAACAAATTGCATTATTATATGTGTATATATTATATATGTATATATATAATATATAATATATATATAATATATATATATATATATATATATATATATATATATATATACATATATATATAATATATATAATATATATATATATATATATATATATATATATATATATATATATATATATATATATATATATATAGCAAAAAATACGACCGTTGATTAAATTTAAAATATATTCAATGGTTGAATAGCAGAGATTTTATCAGTCAATAATTGGCCAATGAAAGTCGTCAACTACTTCATTGATTTATTCGAATACGTTTCGCTTTTATTTTTAAAACCATCATCAGTTCACTACAATTCAAAAAGATTTTAAAATATAAGTAAAGAGCCAACAAGGTTCATACTTACAAAAACAATTTGTAGGTTTTTGACATGTTATAAAAACTCTATGATAACTTAACATTAAAACGAGAGAAACGAAACAAAAAACACACGAAAAACTGTAAGAGCACTACTGTTCATTTAATTTTGACCGATGGCTTCATTTGAATGTTTGTTTAAACTCTTTCGAGGGTCAAACCACACTAATCCCTTCGATTGTTTTCTATCAGTTGTAGGTGGTCATAATTTACACATGTAGCTTGTGTCGTACATGTGTTTCTTTGGAAAGCAGGGAGGTACAAGTATTAAGGGAATTAGTGAACGGAACGGGGACAGACATTTTTTTAAAGAATTTATTTTTTATTGTTCTTTTAAAAACAAACAATCCAAATATAGGAAAGAAGAATGGGAATGAAGTTACTGTCATGTAAGTGGTTTTTTATTTGTTATGTATGATGAAAGAGTGATATATCTGGCTCAAGTTGTCGATATCGGTTCTCTTATTTAAGGAAGATGGATGTTTTAGAATTTGACACATTTCAAGGATGGATCGCTTATGATAATTTTTTGTTTGCACAGTATTTTGGTATTCATGAGGTCGATACTCTGTTTGGTTGAAATGACATGTCGGGCAAGGGCACAAGATGGTTTTGAAATCCTAATGTCGCTTTTGTGGGACGTTAGACGACCTTGAAGAGAGTGGCTGCTCTGGCCAATGTAGCAAGAGTTGCACTCTGCACAGGGTACATAATAGACGACGTAAGTTTGTTCTAGTGGGGCCAATGGAGTTTTTGTCTTAGAAAATAACTTTCCTACGGTTCTGGTATTTTTTAAGGCTATTGTGACAGATAAGTTTTTGAATAGTTTGTTAAGCTGGTTCGTGATTTGTGGGAAGTACGTAAGTATTTTATGGTTTGATCAGGAGTGAGAGGGGACTTATTCATCTGTATTTTGTTAGAAATCGACGCTAATGTTAGCCCGTTGGGTGTTTCAGTAATGGACTGCCCATAGCTTTTGAAATATAGAAATTTATTGATGATGGATGCCGGATAGGAGTTACCTATGAGAATGGACTCCAGAAGATTGATAGATTCTTCTTTGTAAAGCGGATGTGTACTCTAAGGCTGAGGGATTGTACCAGGTTAAGTTTATATCCGATTGGGTGTATCGAATGGTAGTTTAAGAAACGATTGCTAGCCATTTTTTTCGTGTACCAGGTAGTGACTAATCTGTTATCCAGTGTGCGAATAATTAGCATATCTAAAAACGGGACACTGTTATCAACCTCCAATTCACATGTAAATTGTAGGTGAGGATCAAAGCAGTTAAAAACTGATAAAGTGTCCTCCGTCTTGTTCGACGAGGTTGCTAAAATCAGATCGCCGACATACCGCTTTACAAAGGGAACCTGGAAATCTAACTTCTTGATACTCTCATTAATAAGATCGTCTAGTACAAAGTTGACTAGAATAGGAGAAATCGTGGATCCCATAGGAGTTCCAAAAATTTGGCAATAATATTTTCATTGAAAATTAAATACTGGGTGTCAAAAATCAATTTTAATAATTCAGAAAAAGTTTCCCAAGATATCGGACTGTGGGGTTGAATTTGATTTCAACGGTTTCGGATAGACGTTAATACATTGGAAAGTGGAAGATTTATGAACAAGGATACTACGTCAAAACTTACTAAGACAAAGCCCCTGGGTAGTTGATAATTATAAATAAATTCACTGAACTGGAAACAATCTGTTATGTTGAAATCATTGTTATAACTGTATGCTTGTGACAGAATGTTCGTTAGAAATTGAGCTGTATTCGTATTCGGAGCATTTATTGACAATAATATGGGTCGCATACTTAGTTGTAGTTTGTGAATTTTAGGGAGACAGTAAAATCTAGAAGCACATCCATTGTAATTATGGAGAGATTTGGCTAGTTTCTCGTCAATAATTTTTTTGTTTTTAAGTTCAGTGATATATCGGTTGATTTTGTTAATGTAAGTTGAAGTGGGATTGCGAAGAAGTGGTTGATAGTATTTGACATCATCTAGGAGTTGCTGGCTCAGGTTAATGTATTGCTCTCTCATCAGAAGGACTGTAACATTACCTTTATCACTAGTTAATATCATTAGCTCAGGGTGTTTTTTTTTTAGAAAAGTGGCCGCTTCTTCACAAATAAGATCAAAATCGGTTTTTTCGTTGGAAGGCTTATGTGAGAAGTTAGAGAGAATGTTATTGGCAAATAACATTCTCATTAAATTTCTGCTCCACATTTCTATGTTTTTACAAAAAGTATTAAATTTGGCAGTCGTATCACTATCCATTAATATGTGAACTGGTTCCTTAAAGCTAAAGATTAAAAATATTTAGTTTCTGTTTCAGAAGTCAAACAGAATACACACTGCAAATTGCATCACAGATGAAGAGGTATTTTTAACCTTTCTCTATCTTACATACGATGCTCGAACTTGCATCGAAGAATGCCAAGTGTGCCCGGTAGATGATACAAGGTATACTACATATAATTTGTCTATTCAGTTTTGTTACTAACCTTGATGAAATAATGTCAACTTGGTTTCTTTTATACAATTTATTGTGTAGCATTTGCAATTCATTTATTCCTTAAACTATATTGAAATCCCCTCGTATATGTAATATATTGAAATCCCCTCGTATATGTAATATATTGAAATCCCCTCAAATATGTTTGAAAAATCGAAGAATAGTTTTAATGTATCTTTCTATCGTACGTATTAAAACCCAAATATGTTTTCAATTCCTTCTTTAAGTCGACTCGAGAATATAAACCATTTTATAGTTTGTTTATATTTTACAGATGTTACTTCTTCCGTATTTATTTTAATGTTTTATTCGAACTGCTTGAATTGCCTTTTGTAGTAAATGATTTCCGTTTCAACCATTAAAGTGTTTGTTTATTCCAACTTATGCGATCAATTTTTGATGATAATTAGATTACTCTCGGTAAAGCCAGCCGCTGATTAAGACGTGTTCAGTTTTGTTGGAGTCCGAATTTAATTTCAAATTCGAAATCTTTTCGTTTTCCTTTTCTTGTCATGGAAATGTAACATGAAGTGACAGTAGCAGTTGGATACTTCGTATTGATTAGTTTTACCTTGGTTTTGAAGATGGCCTCATGTTGCTAATGTGCTGTGCCTGTTCCAGTCTTTGAAGGAGACGAGTTTTCAAGGTGTAATAATTTTTATATTTGCCACAGTTTATACGTCAGTAACATTTGTAAGTTTTTATAGCATCAGCTGAGTTTGTAAATCAGTAGAACACATGTAAGTTTTCTTTATTATTTTGGTAAAAATCTCTGTAACTAATATAGCATTTTTTGTGCTGTCTGTATTTATGTAACTGTTTGTGGTATAACACAAAAATAAATGTTAAATTTTGTTTCTTAACATTTTTTCTATTTCTTTTAAATTTATCCTTTTTTTTCTAATAGTATCCCAAGTTATCGTTACAAAAATGTCGCCCAGATAGGTTTTGATTTTTTAATAATTATTTTCCTATTACAATTAGTTGTTTTAATAGTTATAATTAGGCACCTCAAAGTGGCGCCCTATACTAAATTACTAGAGGTGATTCCTGTTTATTTACATTTTGTTTGTTCCAAGAGATTAATGACCCCTTTATTTCATTTTTTGTAGTTGTCCCAATCCAAACCCCTTTGCCATTTACTTATCCACGACCCCAGTTCTTCTAACAAACACTGAGTGCCGTTCGCACAAGTAGCGATTATTTTGCTTGCCTTATCTTTACCCCCTTAGTTTCAGTTCCCAATTTTCTACCTCTTGTATTATTATCCCATGTGGTAGGCAAAAAATATTTTCGTTACAATTCTAGTTTGTGTAATGTGACTTACCAAGTTGATAGTATTCTAATTTTGTTTGCATAATAATATCGTAACAAGTGTCATAGCAACAATATAACAAACTTTGTAAAAAAATGTATTTAGCATACTTTGGGCTAAAACTTGGGGATCAAGACAAAGTTTAAGATCCTCGTAAAGTATGCAAAAGATGTAAATAGGAGTTTTGAAACTGGTTTAAGGGTAAAACGAAAAGTTGTTACTTTAAGGTATCCCTAGTATAACAGGAGCAAGAGAAACATACTGACGTTTATTACTTCTGCTCGTGTGATATCAAACAGTTCAAAAATCAAATAATTTTAGTTCGTATCCAAATCCCATTTCAGCCATTCGTTGTCTTCCTCAATATGCAAAAAATACGGCCAAACCCCCTGCTACGTTAGTAGTGACACCAGACTCAAAAGAATATGGGAAACTACCTCAGAAAGATCAGGTTTTAAGCTCTGACTTTGAGGATAAAACTAAACCAAAATTGTTGTCCTGGGAAAACATAAATAATTTTATGATATATCTGAATATTTCCAAAGATCTGCCAAGTTCCTTGGACCCAAATTAAGATTGCTATCTAGAGTGTCTTTTTCTTGGTTGAGATGTATTGAAAACAATTATGTAAATTAATTCGCCCAAAAAGAAAATCAGATTGACATTAAAGGTTTCAACATCTAGTCTGAATCCAAATATATGGCGCCTGTTCAATTCTAAAACTCGAATATCGTCATATTACTGCGAAAAGTCACTAACTAACAATTTTGTAGTTTCGAGTTATTGGAAGTTAAAGATGAAAATTGATTTTATAAATTATCTTTTAAAAAACAATTTATGAACTATATTTTTTTACAAAGTTAAACACCTGCTGTAAAAGTTGTGCCATCATTTTTCAAATAAAGTTTATTTTTTCATAATGTTTTGAGAAAAATATGAAGTTAGTGAATTTTTGCACAACAAAATTACATGAAGTATCAGTTAGTTACTTTATTAATTAATACCTTTAAGAATACAAAATAGGGTTTTAAAAAATCATTCACTTTCTTCTTCTTGATCTTCTTCGTCGTCTTCTCTAGCAGGTTCTGCAGTATATTCTGAAGTATTGTTTGTGACGGCTAACGATTCATACCAAGGATGTAGCTCTTCTGGTATAATACTTTTACGACAAAGTTTCATTAAGTCTTGTTTCTTCAGAATGCTTATGGGAAGTGGTTGATGGTAAGCTTTTTTGATATTTGTAATTGTATTTTGGCGACCTCGCTTACAAACATTAAGAGTCATGTAGGGTCCAGTATGACTGTAACGGAATTTAATTAGACCTGGATATTGTTTTTCATAACGTAGACACTTTATTTTAAGCCATTTTACCGTATTACCGTCAGTATCTTTAAGGCGATTTTTAATCATTCTTGTACTAAGGTCTTTAAGGTCAATTATATCGGAGAAACTTAATTGATTAACATGATACGGATTAGCCTTTTTATTAATTCTGCTGGATCTGGCCTTTCTCATTATGGTCATCCATTCCATAACAGAGTTAACTGGTACATGCCTTTTTTCTCTCTCAATTGCGCTGTGCATACTGTCGACTTCCATGAAAGAATGGCCAGACTCCAAAAATTTTTGCTCAATAATATCAACGTTTGTGGTTTGAGTAAGAAACAGCAGTAGGGCTGCTATGTGCTGGTTTCTGTTTTGCCCTCCGCATGTGTCAGAAAACAGGGATATTTCTTTGATACTGTTCGGAAGTTTGGTGATCCACTGCATTAGGGCAGTACCGATTTCGTTGCTACCTCGTTTACCATTTACTTCCGACCAAACAATGCAGTATGCCTCGTTAGGAACTCTAGACTCATAAATTGTTAGGTTGTAAATACTTAACTTCCTACAATAGTATAGAAGCGATTCTTCACCAGAAGGTATTTGGAGCACACTTTGTAGATCGACTGTAACAGACATAAATGTTGGATCCTCATTAGATCTGACTTTATCTTGTACTTTAGCTAAATTTGCCTCATCTTTTCGCTTTATATGATTATTGTAATCGACTTGAAGTTGGTCGTTTAATGTCCCTGTCCTCTTAGCTTCACTAAAGGTATGGCACGTGGAACATTGATCTTTTTTAGGGACGAAGAATGATAAGTTATACGACTTGCAAAATATGTTTCTATACATTGAGTGTGATACCGGAATGCGATTATTTTCATTACAGTACTCTTTATACAAGAAGTACATTTTTGTGATGGATAATTTTGAGTCTAAATATCGCCTTTGAGTATTTTTCCTGCAGTAATGTGACTCCATTACAGGAAAGCTCTCAATGTGCTGTTTAACAAAAGCCATATCATCGTCTTTACACTTATTGTGAGGAGTCTTCTTACCACGCTTATCAGCTGCCGTAAAATTTCCATTCTCGCTACCTTCAAAAGCTCTATTTATAGGACCATTGCTAATGTTTAAAGTTTTTTGAAAAAACTTCTGACATACCCTGTATTTTACCTCGTTTTTCATTAGGTAGCATTCCCTGCTATGCTTTCGCTTTTTGGAAGGTTCCACATTTGCTCCAGGTCGCGCTGGTGGTTTTTGTGTTATAAATTTTAAGATAAAATCCTTTTGCCTGGTATAACTAGAAAGACCCCAAAATGATTTGCAAATATTAAGCCTATCCGTATCATTAAAATGTGTATTGCATTTAAATTTACAAGTGTCACATTTAACTTTTTGAGGAACTTTTGCAGGTCTTTCTTTTTTTGTTTTATATGGCAAACAATCAAACATTTTTTTCCTCTCAATATTTCTACTCCAATTAGAAGGATCTGCTTTCATCCAACGACATCGCTTTTTCTTGGGAGGAGCTGCTTGACCTTGTAAAGGGATTTCTTCTAAATTAATATTTGATAAATTATCTTCTTGTTCACCTTCACTGGTCCTTTCTGACCCCTCATTTGGTTCCCAATTTTTATCCTTAACGGAGTCGTCGTCATCCGTTTCATCCTAGAGTAAAAAAACATCGTAATAAAGCAGTGTTTAAACCAGGTTCTAGTAATTAACAATCATAAGATACAAAATTATCCTTACAGCATAATTGTCTTCCACGGGTAAAGTCGAGTACTCGAACTGTTCCTCAGGGTTTGAAAATTTACTGCATGAAGCCATCTCAATTATACGGGTCGTTTCCTGAAATAATGATTACTTTCTTTTTAAAGTGTAAAAAAAATTGGAACAAGAAAATAAATTTGTCCAGTCAGTATTACAATTACCAACCTTTGTTGCAGCTGCACCATATGTTTGGCTGAACCCAGTCTCACAGTTGTTTGAATTTATGGAACTGTCGTTTATACCTATGTCTTTTTCCGCGGCCATTTGGTCATCAACCTGTGATTCTACTGCAACACACATTTGGTTTGGCCTTATCTCGGAGTTGTTTGCGTTTATCATATTCTTACGGTCGTCTTCTAAACTTATTTCTTGGTCTGCGGTTATATGTACTGCATTCTAGAATTCAAAAAAGTTGATATTTTTACTCGTATTTTAATGAAGAGGGATGAAATCTATGATAGAAAAGTAGAAACTATTTTGCCCTAACCTAAACCATTTAGATACTAGATCATTCCAAAGTGTAAAAAAATGTTACTTTTAGAATCGAGTGGTCTCAAAAAATATTGAAAATTCGAATAGGATGTACATGCTAAAGCTTTCTTTTGACACTATAAATTAGATATCTAACAATAATTGTGTAGGTAATTTATTAAAAATATTAATAAATACACGTGGTATTTTTTTAAGCACCCTGTATATTTTTTTTTTCTAGCATTTTACGAATTTATTTAATTCTAAACACACAATTACAATCTATGAGCATTGTATTAGCAAAACTCCAGTGTACCTATTTAAATTACCCAAATTATGTTCCGCGGTTCAATACAAGGGTAGACCTCTAAAGTCACGTCTGCAGGTCCTCCCACCTCCACATTCTCCGAAATGTAAATGATATAAAATACAAACTCGTTACAATAATATTTATTTTTCTAACTTACCTTTGTCAACGCTAACTGAACCAGTTTTAATGATCTAGAAGTCATTATTCCGTGTGTGTTTACACAATGTTGCACTAGTAATAATATAAAATTATTGTTTTTTAGAATCTATTAATCACCAATGTAGTCACTCCACTAATTCCTAACACCGACTGAAGACTTAAATTTTATCTAACTGCTGACTGTCCTGACGACTGCACATTTTTATATAAATATGTTATGATAAAAGTCACTAACTACTGTTACTGAGATTTTGCATTTATCATTTTTATCATTTGCAGCAGTTCAGTTCTGCGAAAACTCATTAACTCACTTAAACAGTTTTAGCATATCTTATTATTATCTAATTCTTACTTAGTGATTTTTACCGCTTAAGTATTAGCTTTTAGAGCGTTCTGATGTAGTTAATGATTTTATGCACAGTAAGAAAATATAAAAATAAGTCTTACCATACAGTTAGCTCATTTTAAGGTAAAATGTCAGTTAGTGACTTTTCGCAGTAATATGACGATATAAAGATCATGGTCGGCAAATGTGCGATGGTTTGAAGCTTACATTTCTTGGGAAAAATTCTGGTTACAACAAATTTCCCTGTTTTATATTTATGAGCTATTCGTGGACCAAACAATCAATGGCCAACGGAAATTTGGCACCCATTATGCTTAAAGTTAGACAAAACAATGTTCTGCAGAATTGATACCACAAAAAAAATTTCCTTCCTGCCCTTCTTATAAAGCTAGACCTTTTAAAATATTTTGTCAAATCTCTCAAACATGACAAAGAATATTTCATATGGCAGCCCCGGTTAAAAGATTTTAGGTCTCTAGAGGAAATTAAAGGAAGTGTATTTGTTGGGATGGATATAATTTCAGCTGATCAATAGTTTTCCAACACCGTGCCAACTGCAGAAAGAATGATAGTTCGTATTTAAGAATATTGTAGATAAATATTAAAGAAACAGTAGAGATTCTGATTACAAAGACAGATATACTCAAGAGCATGCTAAAGTCTTTTAAGACTTAGGTTGTCTCGTGAGCCTATAATATTTTCTCTACTCCTATCTGACTTATATTCCTGAAAATTTGTTTAAGGAGATGGAAATACGATATCAAGGAAAATAAAGCACAAAAATGACTGATAGTCGTTAACTGATGACTAATGAGTAGATAACTGGAAAATGCTATAAAAGGACATTCCAGACTAGGACATAAGCGAAAATGTACTAAAAGTAGCCTCACAGTAAAAAAATAATTTTAGGTAATTCAAAGCTCCTTTAATTCAAAATTAATTAAAATATTTATTAAAACGACTATAAATTTTTATATACACCACTTTTGTCTCTGTAGGGTAATACCATTGAAAAAATAGGTATCCAATATGTAAAAAAACGCATGCTTGAATTCAGCGCATTACAAATCATACAAATCAGTTAAAATTATCAAAAAAGCTTTTAAAAAAAATGTTTGCAGACCTGTGTTATGTATTTATAATTTTACTGTAAATAGTATCTCTTTTTAGGATTTAAAGAAAATAGATGTCCTCACATTCGCGGAAGAGGTGTTGGGGGTTCATCATTACTTAATGCTCTTGTTTACACAAGAGGAAATAGAAAGGATTATGACAAATGGTGCTCTATGGGCAATAAGGGATGGTGTTACAAAGATGTTTTACCTTATTTTCTAAAACAGAAAGATTTCGCTGGACCGATCCTAATTCTCCCGTTGATATTGACTATCATAATTTTAATTCTACAGGATTATTATCAGTAGAACAACCGATGCCTAGATCAGCACACAGCAAGGTTTGGATGTATACTGTTTTTAATTTGTACACTATATTTGATTATTGCAACATGATGTATAGGTATCGTTAGTTGGGGGTTCGTATTTATTTTTCTGTATTACCTTAGGAGGCTTTCCTGGCTCTTATATAGAGCCAGATAGTAGAGTATTTACATCAAATGATGATCCTTACGGTTTAAATAAGTTTGAGTCGATCAGTGGGTTATTATAATGCTGATGTGTCGTGAAACCATAATGAGGACAGCAGAATTTGCTGCCAATTAGACCAGGCTAAAGGCTTATGTTCTGAGCGTAGTGGTATTTGCTCCTCAGAATGTTTTGTATAATTTTTGAATGATATTGTTACTAGTATTTGTTTTAGCATCAGTATTTTTTACCTGTTACTTTTAAACGGCAAGCGCTGGTGTTCAAGCGCTGGGTGATAAAGTTCTCCAATGTCTCGCTAGTGCAAGAAGGCCGTACGGCAATTAAAATCAAATTTTAATATTTGAAACTCTTAAAAATGGCGGAGGTGAATAAGACATTGAATTTTACAAAATTTGGCAGAACACCAGGATTTGACTGAATCGGCCCAAAATTCCTAAAACATCGTAGCAAACACGCAATAATTAAGTTAGGTAAATTTTCCTTTAATCTTACAACGGGTTGTCCGCCAGCAGATTTCAAAAAAGCAAAAATAACTGCAATTCTTAAACCCTATAAACCTAAAAACGTTGTGAAAAGCTTCTGTCTACTAGCGCTACTAAGCCCATATTACAAACTTTTGACTTTATACTAACAGACTCAGTTCAACAATACTAGAAAAAATCACATTTTTTTTGGGAAACCGTTTGTTTTTTAAAACCGATAGTGCTGCAAAAAATTTGCTTAGTATACATATCCCATTTGTGTAACCTTTTGGCTCGGTTTTAGTGCTAACGACTACTTACTAGGACCGATGGCTTTACGTGCCCTCCAAATCACGTTCGTAGTTCGGATTAAAAATTGAAAAATTTATGGTGTTTGCCGGGATCAAACGCGGGTCCTCTGTCTTGGTAGGCCTCTCCAATAATCTATGGCCGCCACAGAAATCATCCTAATAGAAAAGACTAATTTGCGTCCTTATCGCAGCCGTATAGACATACATTCGATATAAGAACAGCTCAAGATAGGAAGCAATTTGTTGTAGTTATAGCTAACCTTTAGTAATGGAGAAGGCTCCTTAAGAAGATAGACCAAGTACATAGCTCCAACAACGTATAAAAACTAAGGTAACTTAGATTAATCTAACTGCTACGTACGACCATAGACATATAATACAAGATAGACTAATCGTTGCAATACCAGTCCATTTCCCCAGTGTGACAAAGAAAACTGACGCAAAGCAGTCTCTGTATCTCTCTCCAATTTGCCAGGTTTACCGACCACATAACCTAAATGATCAATGAGAAGATCGCTTGGTCGATAGACCCGGCCCATCAGACAGAGATGCAGAAACTTCTTTGCGTCAGTTTTATCTGTCGCACTAGGAGAACGCAACTGTATAGCAGCAGTCAGTCTATGTATTATATGTCTATCCGCACGATACCGTAAGAGGTTAAATTTTTGAACATTATATCCTGCAGTTGAAATGCTACCCTATTAAACAATATGCTGTATAACTGGTGATAGTAAAAGCAGAGTATGTAGGGTGCAAATAAAACTCCCTCAAGGATCGGTGCTTATCCCAATTTTCTTCAATATGTATATATCATAATTCCTTTAAAGATAGCAAACAAATATGCGTATGATAATGATCTAGTCCTAGCCGCCCGCAAGAACATAATTAAAAAGCTCAAACAATATACCGAGAGAAAATTTGGAAGTCCTAGATAAATACTTCAGTAACTGTCGTTTACTGAACACCAAGCGCACCAAACTCTTGAATAAGAGATTAGTGGACACACAATTTGGCATTTAGAAATGAATGATACAAGAGATGCTTTGCTTCGGCTTGAATGTGCTTGCACTCAGAGATTCATGGACATGAATCAGATAAGTTACTTATTTTATGTAGACTTTAAAAGGCATTAGAATAACGTTCAACATAAAAACTTGTAGATACATTAAAAAGCAAAAATATTGACAGTCGTGATCTGAAGATTATATCTAATTTATATTGGAATCAAACTGCCAAGGTAAGAGTTGACAGCCAGTACACCGAAAATATAAAAATACAGAGAGGAGTCCGCCAGGGTTGCGTGCTGTCCCCACTACTTTTCAATGTCTACAGTGAAGCGGTATTTCAAGAAGCGCTCTCAGACTCAATAGAAGGTATATCTATCAATGGAGAAGTTTTGAATAACTTACGTTTTGCAGACAATACAGTAATAATTACGGATAACAACAATGATTTACAGAACGTAATGTAACGCCTTAATGAACACTGTCATGAGTACGGACTGAAGATAAATTTAAAGAAAACTAAATGCATGATCATGACTAAATCTGCACATGCAAATATCCAATTGACTATTGAAGATACTGCAATTGAGAGTGTAGATAATAACTATAAATACTTAGGAACATGGATAACATCAGATGTAGACCAAACCAAAGAAATTAAGACACGTATTTAAATAGCACGTACATCATTTATTAAACTTAAAAAGTTTCTTTGTTGTCGGGATATAAGGTTAGAACTACGGCTGAGAATGCTTCGATGTTCGTGTTCTCTAATCTACTTTATGGTTGGGAAGCTTGGACACTAAAACAAGTTCATCTGAATAAGTTGGCCGCCTTTGAATTTTGGTGTTACAGAAGAATCCTACGAATATCATGGATTCAAAGAATGTCAAACATGGAAGTAACTAGAAGGGTAGGAAATGAGGCGGAAATAATATTAACTATTAAAAGACGAAAACTTGAGTACTTGGGACATGTGATGAGAGGGCAAAATACGCATTATTACAACATATTATGCAGGGCAAAATCCGAGGAAAGCGAAATGTGGGAAGACGAAGAATATCCTGCTTAAGAACTTAAGGGAATGGTTTGAATGCAGTAGTGCAGAACTTTTAGAGCGGCAGTCAACAGAGTCCGCATAGCCATGATGATTTCCAACCTTCGATAGAAGATGGAACTTAAAGAAGACGATCACCAGCGCAGCTATCTGGTGGACTATGGCTTTTCTGATTTCTAAATTCAGTGGATTAAGTCTACTTATATTTTTTTTACTCTTTCCACAACCTTCTTGAAATTTAATTTTTGTTTAGAGTGAAGGTTATGATTTGATCCCGTTATGTATTTTTTGCTAAATATGCTGTCGTTCATTAATCTGTTGTAACCAAAGTTCTTAGGTTGAATCTATCATGGGACAATATTTTCCAGTTCTGCTATGAGCTTAGAAACTAGTTGGCCTTTTTGAAGTTCCATCGTGGTCTAGGAGTGGAGTGAATAAATATTTTTTTTAATCTACTTGTAAGGGATGGGTAGGTGCCGGTTGTGGTAAGACGTAATTTAGAACTTATTATCATCTGTTTTTTTGGATTTCCAAGTCGATTGTTGGATTAAGGTGTATATCCAGTGTGGTTGATGGCAATAATGATTGTAATGGAGTATATATTACCGACCGAAATTTTATCCATTTTTAAGTAATAACTATAATGTCTCCATATATATTGCTTTAAAGTAAGTAGGAGTTTTCTGTATTATGTCAGATATAAGTCTCTACATAGTAGAAATGATGATGAGTGGCACGAATCAGGTTATGATCCGGTCTTCTTCTCGGTATCTTCGTTGATCTTCGTTCTGTATATGTGTTTCTTAGAAAATGGACATATCAATATTTTGATTTGATGTGAGTTTTGAAAACAGTTATTCTTGGCTCTGCTAAGCTTTTTAACGGTAATTTGGCAAATTCAGAATGATCAAAAGACTGATATTTTTTGTACACACTTATGACAAGTCAAAAGAAATTGTAAAAAAAGTATTTTTGAAGTGTGTATATTTAAGCAATTCCTAGCTGAGCGCTTTCGGCTTTACAAAGCCATCATCAAGCTATACTACAATAAAATGTTCTTATAAGTACTAGTTGGTGAAGATTATAATTTTTAACTTACGTCAATTTATAAATATATATAAAATGTATTTATTCCTCCCCAGGGGAGGGCTGGGTCAGGCCAACACACACCTGACCCAGCCCTCGGTGGGCAGGTATTTAGCAGAACATATTTAAAAACGTGTTTTATTAGTCGTTAATATTCCTTGTTACTGTGCGGTTTATAATGCGAGTGTAATTATGTTTCGTCCTTGGGAAAATAATCGCTTGACGGCTATTAGTCATAGTCGAAAGCACTTGTCATTAGACGCAAAACAAATAGTTTAAAATGTGTATGATGCTTAAATAAGTAGAGGCTTAATCAAACAAGCTGCTGTAAAAGAAACGTGTGTACTTACAAAAACGCCAATATCGTCGATAAGGGATATTCGTCGATAAAGGATAAAGGATAATGTTAACAGTAAAACACTTCCAGGCAGAAAAAACGTAGTGATTTCCGGTCTCATAGTTTGGACAGTGCTCAACAAGATATGATAAGAAGAAAAATATATTCCCTCTATGAAAACTAGATTATTTCTACTTTGAATAAACTTAAATTGAAGTTAGAAGAAGATCAAACAAATATATATATTAGCCGTGCCACCCTCCATAGAGTCATTTCTACAATGGGTTTTAAATATCGTAAGATAGACAAAAAACAAGTTTTTAATGGAATCACAAAGATTGCGTACTTGGAGATATAGTTATCTCTCTGACATGAGGAAATATAGAGTAGAAAACACATCTATCATTTACCTGGATGAAACATGTTCGATTCACACGATACAGTACAAAAAGGATGGATTGATTCTAGTAGAAACTGTCAGATAAAAGCACCTTCAAATAAAGGAAAACGCATAAACAATAATTCACGCTGGTTCGGAAGACGGATGGGTCCCAAACTGCTTGCTGTTATCTGCGAAGAATATCAAAGACTCTTGGATACTACCATCAAGATACAAGTGGAGAACTTTTTGAAAACTGGTTTCAAAATTATCGTTTAAAAAATATCCCTAACAATAGTGTCATTGTAATGGATAACGCAAGCTATCACAGTCGTCAGCTCCAAACAGAGCAAGTACTAAAAAGTGAAATTCAGGAGTATTTAATAGAAAAATGATATTTATTTTGAATTTAGTTACAAGAAAGAGCAACTACTGGAAGTTTTAAAATACTTTGCTATTAAAAAGCAATATGTATGTGACAACTTAGCAGAACAGATGGGACGCACTGTGTTACGTCTTCCTCCATAAAATTGTGTATTCAAACCCCATTGAACATATGTGGCACCAAGTAAAAGCAAAGGTAAGAGCGGAAAATGTCTCTCCTACCCTGAGTGCGACTGTCATAGAGTTGATTTAAAACTGTTATAAATAATATATCGGTTGAAAGCTGGAAAATTCAGTACAGCAAATTGTAAAAGTTGAACATTCTTATTTTTAACTTTTACAGTGTAGTTTAAATATCTTATTGTTATCACTCAATATTGAATATAAGTTTTAAAATACTATTAAATAAATGTAATTTTCTTTACAATAAAATAGATGCCTCGAAAAGAAATTGATATATTATTATTTTTACTTGGAGTCCGCCTCTGATGCCCTGTGATAAAATACCTAAATGGAGATAAGACAATAATCAGGTAAAATTCTCACCCCCTCTGTGGCTCATGGTAAGAGCGCCTGCCTTTAAACCTAAAGGTCGTGAGTTCGAATCCCACCTGGTGGAAATTTTCGTTTATTAAAAAAAAAATTAATAAATGAAAGTAATTTCTATAAGTGTGATCGGTACACACCGGAGGACCGCAGATGTTCGGATACAATTAGCGTCTCTAAGCAAAGACAATGACGTCGACTTTGCTAAGTATCAAGACAATAATTACTCTACACACACAAAACACACACATACACTACATTAATAAACTTATCTTGATTGAGACTGGCTAATGACAATTGTCCAAGCCAAAACACACAAAAAAAAGGTAAAAATTCAAGACGATAAACATTGAGACAGACTTTACACTACATATTTTTTTATAACATAGCTTGTAGAAATCTGTTTTTATTTATAGACGTATCTGAATAACAAACACTGTTATAAAATATAGAATACTGCGAACTAAACATGAGTACACAGGTAATTTTTAACGGTTTAAATACGCAGGTCATATAGACCCGAACGTATCATACATACGACGGTTAACCTGCAAAACCTCGTAAGTCGATTTTTGCTCAATTATGACTTTTATACTATTTTGGTTTATATTTTTCCATATCTTTTAAACTACGAAATCTTGTAAGTCTATATTTTAAATTTAATGGTACTAGCGACATCTACAAAAACCTCGTAAAACTAACTGTTAGCAGAAAAACTCTTAAAGTTCGACTTGCGTGGTTTTGGAGTTTAATTTTGTGGGACTTCCAGAAACTATTTCATTACTTGAGTGGTGGTTGTCAATTTTGTTGTTGTGTTAATGAGATTTTGAGAAGATAATATCTATTGGTATTATATATATTTTGATAATGAATTCAAGAGGAAAATATATCTTAAGCTTAATAAAAACAAACAGTGCAGATTGCCAAGAGGGGTAAGTTTACTGTTGTACAATTAATTTTTAATGTAATATTAAGGTAATTTGTTCGTAATCAATAAAGCGAGGTTTATCTTTTAGTATGAAAAGATGGTCAGGCATTACTTAGTGATAATAATTATGCAGATAAAACCCATGATTTAAAATCTTTATACTCAGAGTTTAAATAACAGTAATGATGGATGTTATAAATTTAAATTCTGAAGAAACGGAACCATTTTGAAGACAGTGGATCTGAATATATAGTGACTACCGATGACACTGATGAAAGTGACCAATTTACCAATGAAGCTGAAACTGACAATAAAAATCAAACTAAAAAGAAAAGGGCAAAAAAATGGAATGTACACAAAGAAAAAATGGGGTCGCTCTAACAACAGAATAAAAAAGAATGCGAGGTGAGAAATATGATTCCAAAATGTTACGAAAAAACTACTAAAAAGTACGTAACCGTTGAAAGAAATCAAAGACAAATGGGTCCAGCTTGTGAATGCAAATTGTCTTTAAAATCATCAAAACTCTTTTGCAGAACATTTAGTCCAAGAAGTTAGGTTACAGTTATTCAATAACTTTTGGCAGTTGAATTGGGACGTGATAAAAAATGTTTGTAAAAGGCCTTATTGATACAGCAAATTAAACTACGCAAAGCCAGGTAACTAATAATATTTTAAACTTTTAATAGGTTTACTAAAATAAATTTGATTTATGAAGCCATTGAGAAACAGCGGAAAGGTACCTTATGTTTTCATTTAAAAAAGAATAGTATACGACTTCGGGTATGCAAAAAAATTGTTTTTTAGAGACACTATGTGTAGGGAGTGGAGTGTAGCAAGTTGGGTAAACGTAACTCAAACCCAAAATATTGGAGCAATTGAATACTAATTGTAAATCCGAGCCAACGCAAAAGAAAAAGTTCCTAATTAACTTTTTTTCAAAAGTTGCCCAAACTTGAAAGCCACTATTGCCGTAAAGAAACATCTAAATTGTATTTAGAACCGATGTGGCACAATATATAACGAATTTATATAGATGTTACACTAATGAATGTCGATCAACTAACGAACATGCTCCAGTAAGTCACACGTATTTTAGAAGACAATTTGAGGACCAAAATTTGTCTCTGTTTAGGCCAAAGTAAGTGTTTACTTATTGTTTATTTATTGCCTCCAATAAATCAATTTTATTTTAGGAAGGACCAGTGTGACATCTGCACTAGTAACACTGTTGGGACTGTAAGTAATAAAGATTATCAGTTTACATATTATTAGAAAAAATGCTGCTCGCCAAGAAAAAGGAAAAAATTAAAACAGTCCACTAAAACGATTCAACTAAATTGGTTGTTCACTATGGATTTACAAACGGTTTTAAGTGCGCCAAAATTGCAAGTATCTGTTTCGTACTATAAAAAGAAACTTAATGTTCACAACTTGTGCTTTTTTAATCTAGCATCAAATAAGGGTGACTGTTACATCTGGCATGAGGGAGCCGGAATATATAAAAGCTTCTGACTTCACATCAATTGTCATTCACCAGATTGAAAAGTATGTAACAGAAGAAACAAAAGAAGTTATTTTTTTTCTGATGGCTGCAATTACCAAACAGGAATTCAACTTTGAGTAGTGCTTTATCCAATTTTGCAGCAGCAAAGAATATTCAAATTACCAAAACTATTTGGAAAAAGGACATACTCAAATGGAGTGCGACTCGATGCACGCCTGCATCGAGCTGTCAGCTGAAAAATAGGGACATTTATGTACCTAGCTGTTATGTTTCAAATTTGTAAAAATGCAAAATTACAGCATCCTTATGATGTTCATTACCTAGATCATCTTTCCTTTAAAGATTATTCCCAGATTGAAACATATCCCTCAATTCGTCCAGGTAAGAAAAAAGGTGATCCTACAGTCACAAATTTAAGGTGTCTAGCATATCGTCCGAATGGTCTTATAGAGTACAAATTGTATTACGAAGATGACTGGAAACTACTACCGCAACGACCCAACAAAGAAAAAGCAACTAATGCTCCGCCATTATCATATCCTACTGCACCAAAAATAACACTTTCTAAATTTAATGATTTGCAGGATATGGAAAAACTTTATTCCTAAAGATTTTCGGCATTTTTATGAGTCCTCTTGCTCATGAGTAAATAGAGAATATTAGCCAGTTATAAATTATCACAATTTTTATTTTTTATTTTTTTTTATTCTTATGGACAGAATTTAATTTAATAGTGAATATTAGCAAGTTTTTATAAACTACGGCTATTTTGGTTTTTGATTTTTTTACTTTTTAAGTATAAAGAATTGGGTTGTCACTACTCGTTTTTAAGAATATTTTTTAAGTTTTATACCATAGGTGATGTAATGTAATAAATTAACTAAAAATAAATTTAATTTATTGCTTTTTTTTAACCTCGGAAGTGGTTCTTTTGAGACAAAACCTCGTAAGTTTACTGACAGTTTAAGATTTTAAGTGCCAAAACCTCGTAAGTTGCTTTTTGACAAAACAAAAACAATGTTACTAAAATTTTACTTAAGAGTAATGTAATCGTTTACCTCAAAAGAACCCTACACTCAAAAAACGAGAAAACTGAATGTTAAGGTCAAGAAGCCAAAACGTTTTTCGTCTCTCCTGTAAAGTTACATAAAACTGACTTACGAGGTTTTGCATTTTAACCGTCTATATCAATCAGGAATTTTATATTTTATCTCTTATGCAATTGAAAGACCTTATATTATGTAATAAAGTCACGGATTACCGAAGAGTTACGCTGCGTAATAATTTGTAAAATGAGAAATAATTTTTTTGTTAAATAGACCCGAACAAGGACAGCAGGGTTAATTGTCTATGGGCTATGAGAATTTATCAGTGATTATTAGAAAGTACATATTGGTATGCGTTTTAGTGAGTCTTAGAATTTGTGAAAGAAATATTCTTGAAATATCAAAACTGACAATAATTGTGGCGGGCTTTGAGCTTGAGCTGTGGCCAAAAGGCGAAGTTTAATGTAGAATGCTATTACATTAAACAACATGAAGGGTATTATATATCTACCATTCGTAATTTCTAAAAATTATAAAGGCAACAATTTAGTTTTTATTATTTTGCTGACCGAATTATATGCTTGAGTTTTATTTTTAAATATTTGTTCATTTCGCCTAGTAATTTTCTTGTATAAATTTTTTTTAACTACAATCTGACTATTTCCTACATTTTATTTTAGATATTTCTAAAAGCAAATGAAGAAATGGGCTATATAAACCGAGATGTAAATGGTAGAGGACAAATTGGCGTCAGCAGTTTTCAGATAAATACTTACAAAGGAAGGCGTCAAGATGGAGGTACAGCGTTTATTAAACCATTTCGATACAGACACAATTTAAGGGTGTTAACGCAAAGCTATGTCACTAAGATTATTATTAATAATAAAACAGCAACAGGAGTATTATATCTGCGCAATGGAGTACTATACAAAGCCAGAGCAAAAAGAGAGGTTATAGTAAGTGCTGGTGCAATCAACAGTCCTCAGATTCTTATGCTATCAGGAATTGGACCAAGACAACATTTACAGGCACATAGTAAGTACCTGATATCTTTTTGATTTTAAAAATGGAAAAGGCATTAGATTTAATAAATAAGTGATTAATATTAAGTCCATGTACTCTGATAACTTGTAAATATACTAATTTCGTATAGTTTGGGTTTCATATAAAAACGTCTTATAAAAAACGTCTGCATAAAAATTTTTTACTTTTGCATCAACTACACTTGAGTGCAAAAAATCGACTGAAAATTATTTGCGAAAGTAAGTCTCCTGTTTCAATCAAAAAAGGTGTAAATTTGAAAATATTTAGTGTACAATTTTTAACCTCATTATTGAGTTTGAAAAAAGTTTTGATTTTTGGTAAATCGGGTGACGTATGCACCGACAGAGTAAAAAGAAGATCATGTAAAAAAAAACTTCCACGAGAAACTGGAGGAGATGATAAATAATCTACCCAAACAGGACATGCATATTATCTTGGGAGATTTCAATGCAAAGATTGGGAAAGAAGCAGCGTACAAGCCAACAATAGGTAACCATAAATTTCACGATAACAGCAACGATAATGGAACAGGTTAATAGACTTTGCAGCATCCTACAACCTACTAATAAAATCGACAATGTTCGAACACAAGAAAATACACAAACAAACATGGTCTCCAACGATGGCGTCACAAGAAATCAGATCGATCATGTTCTAGTAGATGCCAGGAGGGGTAGTAACTGTCTAGACGTAAGAAGCCTAAGAGGAGCTGATGAAGACACGAATCATTTTCTGGTAAAATCGAAGATAAGGACAAGAATAGCGTAAAAAACACACATGAATACACCAAGACAATTATGGAATACCGAAGTTCTACGTAATAAGGAGACAGAACAGCAATTTCAAAAGGCTATAGACATCGCTGTAACACAGACAGAAGACTATAACAACATAGACTTAACCTGGAAAAATAAAACGAAAAAAAACACAAAAATAAAATAATAAAAAATGGTTCGATGATGATTGCCCGAACTCCATAACTGCAATAAATAGAGCTAGAAGGAACATGCTACAAAATCCCTCGCACAACAACAGTGAAATGTATAGACAAAGGAGAAGAGAGACAAGAAAACTAATGAAAAGGAAGAAGAGAGAGTATCAGAAACAAATATTCACAGATATAGAAGAAAAAAGAAAGAGCAAACAAGCGAGACAGTTCTTCAAAGGAGTTTCAGATATCAAGACCGGGTACCAAGAAAGAACAGGAAACTTGCCTCAAAACGACAGTGGACAGCTTATCACGGATGACAAGGAAATCTTAAAAACCTGGAAGGAATACTTCTATCAACTATTCAATGACTAATCTAGCAGAAATACATCAAACATAGAGGTACATATAGCTGAAATAGAAGACCAATACCCGACATACGAAAAAGTAAAAGAGGCAATTAAAAAACTTAAAAATAATAAGACACCAGGTAGCGATGATATACCAGCAGAATGTTAAAAACATGGAGGAGAAGCGTTGTACAGTTCTATATACAAGCTAATTCAAGACATTTGGCGAGAAGAAACAATGCCAGATAAATGGAAAGAAGGGGTTATTGTACCAATACACAAAAAAGGAAACAAAACGCAATGTATTAACTACAGGGGAATAACACTCCTAAACACCACCTACAAAATCCTTGCAAACATCCTGCTAGAAAGAACCAAAACATATACAGAAGAAATCGTTGGAGATTATTAATGCGGATTTATACGGGGTCGCTTTATTATTGATCAGATATTCACAATAAAACAGATAATGAAAAAATGCTGGGAGTTTGATTGTGAGGTTCATCAGATGTTCATAGATTTTAAACAAGCATTTGATACAGTATGCAGGGACAGACTGTGGACAGCGATGCAAGAACTTGGCTTTCCAAAAAAACTAGTCAGGTTGATACGGATGTGTATGGAACGGTTACGATGTAAGGTGAGAGTTGGACAACAATATTCGGAGACATGTGAAAATAAACAATGGACTAAAACAGGGAGATGCAATTTCACCACAACTCTTCAACTTAGCTCTGGAGCACATAAATCAGAAGTGCAAGAATCGAAAAACCTAATACAGTATTTCATCGAGAAGGACCAAACTTACTATCTGGCATTTGTAGACGATATCGATCTAATAGGAAACACACAATTAAGGATGAAGGAGACTTTCGTGAGGTTTCGAGAAGGAAGCAGAGAAGATGGGGCCCAAATCAACGAACACAAGACGAAATATATGTATATGAGCCGCAATAACCAAAGCAGAGACAGAATCGGTCAGAACATCACCATCGTGACTTTACGTTTGAACGCGTTAGAGAATTTAAGTATCTTGGCAGAACAATAACTGAGGACAATAACGGATCACAAGAACTAAACAACAGGATTCAGGCCGGCAACAGATGTCTTTTTGCCCTCAAAAACCTTATAAACTCAAAACAACTAACACGACGTACAAAGATACAGGTCTATAAAACAATCATACGACCCGTTGTGATGTATGGAAGCGAAACGTGGATAATAAGAAAGGCAAACGAAGAGAGACTATGTGTTTGGAAAAGAAAAAGCCTAAGAAAGATCTTTGGTCCTGTGCTGGATGAAGCATCAGGACAATATAGGATCAGAACTAACAAAGAGCTCGAAGAACTTTACCCAGACGCCAACATCATAAATGAAATAAAGTCCAGAAGACTATAAAATGGGCAGGATACCTCAGAAGACATTCTAAACTAACGAACAGTAAGACTGGTGTGGGAGAAAGTCCCAACTGGAAGGAGACCACAAGGACGCCCTCGTCTCCGGTGGCGAGATAATGTAGCAGGAGACCTAAGCACTATGGCGTGGAGAATTGGATGGAGGTTGCTCAAGATAGAAAACAGTCTAGGCATGTTGTCGAGTCGGCTAAAACCCACGAAGGGTTGTAACGCCACGGAGTAAGTAAGTAAGTAAGGGTGACGTATTACAAATAAATAATGCAACACGTAGAGAGGGGGACATAATTTGACCCATTGAAATCGACACGCACACCCACTTAAAACATTTGGTAACATCGTAATCATCAATTTCCAAAGCAATCCACTAGTACATCAATCAATTTAAGTTCGCAACTTCATAACAAATGGATACCACGTCCGTCAAAGCAGCTCAAGCAGTAGCATTATTAAGAGACGACCTGAGCCAGAGAGCCGTGGCAAATCGACTAAGATTAAGTCAATCTGCTGTGTCCCGAGTGTATCTCCGGTACCAAGATACTGGTGATTATGTCCGCTGACAAGGAGGAGGTCATAAACGAATAACAACAAAGAGATATAATCGATTTCTTATATCTAAATCTCTGAGAAATCGACATTTGACTGGTGCTAATTTCAAAGAAGAGCTTAGAGAGGTACGAGGTGTGGTTACCTCACAGTCAGTCAGTCACTCACAGTCAGTCAGTTACCCAACAGTCAGAAGGAGACTGAAAGCAGCCAACCTGACACTATAAAGGGCAGCTACTGGACCCAAGCTAACTGCAGCTTAGAAGCAAAGACGACTAGAATTTGCTCGCAAACATCTGGATTGGGACGACTATCAATGTAGTCAGTTATTATTCTCCGACGAAAGTAGGATCTGCCTACATGGCAACGACAAGAGGCGTCGAGTCTATAGAAGGCCAGGGGAACGATTTGCTCAATGTTGTATACGAGAAATTGTGTCATATGGAGGCGGTTCTTGTATGTTTTGGACATATATTTCTATGATGGGAAAAGCGAGCTGGTTTTCGTGGCTGGTGGAGGACGTGGAGGAGGTTTAACGGGGATCATTACATCACAGATATTTTGAAGGAACATGTTGTTCTATACGCGGGATTTATTGGTAATGCCCTTATTTTATTGCATGATAATGCACGATGTCATACCGCACAAGTCACCATCACCTATCTGACTGAGATCGGTGTATATGGTGCATATTGTTTTCATAATGCGTCTTCCAAATAAAATCTCAAATATCGCTTTTGAGTCGATTGTTTTGCACTCAAGTGTATATCCTACTACCTAAATTTATATATATATTATATATATATATATATATAAATATATATATATATATATATATATATATATATAATATATATATTATTTAAGTAGAAAAAAGAACAGTGTTGTCAATATGCAGTGTGAATTCAAAGTGTATCCTCCTACCACTATATATTTTCTAAACAATTAAACTTAATAATATTGTTCTGATGCTATTTTCTTGTAAATAATATTTTGATAAGTTTTGACATAAATATTTTATTTACAAATGTGACATTAGATAAGACTTTAAATATATTCAGAATAAAATTAGAAATGAAGATACATGGGCAACTAGAACAAAACTAAACTAAATATATCAGCTATAATCGAGTTAACATTATATACTAATAATACCATTTATTAACTAAATCATAAATTCTATAAACAAAAGTTTAAATCAATATAAGGTTGAATGTTCGAATAAATGAACTTTGATGGTACACAAGGCAAATATCGAACACAGTAATTAATCAAATCTTGCCCAAGTACTTTCGATCACAAGATCATCCTCAGGGGCATTTCGTCAGTTGTGGCCTATCCAGCATTAACAGAATGTCATAAATGTAAATTGGGACATAACAAATACACTAAACAAAGACAAACAAACACTTTAAAATTTAAAAAATTGGAGAAGCTACATTTTATTTAGAAGCCGGAGACAGAATCAAGCTTGTCTCCGGCTTCTAGATAAAATGTAGCTTCTCCAATTTTTTAAATTTTAAAGTGTTTGTTTTGTCTTTGTTTAGTGTATTTGTTATATCCCAATTTACGTTTATGACATTCTGTTACTGCTGGATAGGCCACAACTGACGAAATGCCCATGAGGATGATCTTGTGATCGAAAGTACTTGGGCAAGATTTGATTAATTACTGTGTTCGATATTTGCCTTGTGGTACCATCAAAGTTTAACAAAAGTTTAGCCTTTTAGCAATGACCTCTAGTTTATTCTCTAT